TCGAATTTCGTCAGGCTTGAAGTCGGTCAGGACACCAGTGAATTCGGCGACAAAGTCGGCAAGCACCTGCCCTTTGATTGAGGTTCTGGGTAGAAATTGAATGTTGTATTGGCTGAATTCCAGAGCCCACTTTGAAACACGTCTGGAAGCTTCTGCACTGCGTAGTACAGATCGGAGAGGATAGTTTGTTAGCACCCCTATGCTATGACCCTGGAAGTAATGCATCAGCTTCCTCGCCGCCATGACTAGGGCTAGGATGAGCTTTTCAAGCGAAAGGTAGCGCGTTTCGGCATCAACCATTGCTTTGCTCACATAATACACCGGCCGTTGCTCTCCAAGCTCTTCCTTTATTAGCACGGCGCTGATGGCCCCGTCGGAAATTGCTAGATATATAATGAGCGGGTCACCAAGAGAGGGCGTTGCCAAGAGTGGTACAGAGCGGAGGTAAGTCGTAAGGCCGTTGAAAGTGGCTTCGCATTCGGAGGACCATTCAAAAGCCTTGCCCTGCGGTAGTGTATGAAAGAATTGTCGGCAGCGATCTGTGGAATGGCTGAAGAACCTATTGAGCGCGGCGGCCATCCCCATTAACTTTTGCACCTCTTTTACTGATCAGGGGGAGCTGAGCTCCAAGATTGCTGTGATTTGCCTTGGATTAGCTTCGATTCCGCGGTGATTGACGATATATCCCAAGAATTTGCCAGAGCCGATTCCAAAGGCACATTTGGAAGTGTTCAGCTTCCTTCCATATTTGCGTAGGATGCCGAATGTTTCTTCAAGGTCGGCTATATGATTCTGCTTTACCTTTGACTTGACCACCATATCGTCAATGTACACTTCCATTGTGCGACCGAGTTGCTTTTTGAACATGGTAGTGACTAGTCTCTGGTAGGTTGCCCCGGCGTTCTTCAGCCCAAAAGTCATAACCTTATAGCAGTAGGTTCCTCTTGGGGTGAGGAATGCAGTTTTCTTCTGGTCCACCGGATGCATGGCAATTTGATGGTAGCCTCTGTAAGCATTGAGGAAACTCATGCGCTGATGGCGTGCTGTAGCATCTACCAGTTGGTCTATCCTTGGGAGAGGAAAAGAGTGTTTGGGGCAGGCTTTGTTTAAGTTCGTGAAATCAACGCAGACTCATCATGTACCGTTCTTCTTCTTCACAACTATAGTATTAGAGAGCCATGTGGGGTAGGTAACTTCCCTGATTGCCCCTGCATCAAGCAGCCGGTCAACCTCTTCAATCACGGTGGTAGTGTGCTCTGCGGTAGATCGCCGACTTTTCTGAACGATTGGCTTGCACTTAGGGTCAACATTCAAACGATGCTCGGAAACAGTTGGGTCAACACCCAGTATTTCATATGGAGTCCATGCAAATATATCAAGATTAGCGAGCAGGAAGGATACTAGCTGCTATTTGTCGGCTTGATTCAGGGAGGCGCCAACCATGAAGAATCTCTCTGGATTGTCGGCAATCTCAATTCGGTCTAAGTCTTCCGTGGTTTTCTCATTCGGGAGCCGTCCAACATCGTCGAGGCTTTCACGATCCAGCACCTCGATGGAATTAACTTGCAAATCCTTTGGCGTCTTTCCGGAAAGGAGATAGCATGCTTGTGCCGATTGTTGGGAACCACGGATCTGCTCGATACTGTATTCTGTCGAGAAGTGCAGAAGCTGATGATAGGTGCTTGGGACAACCCGCATAGTATTCAACCAAGTTCGCCCCATGATGAGATTGTACGGCGAAGGCAGCCTGACGACCAAGAATTCCATACCCACTGTTCGGGAGCCTGCTCGGACGGGTAATATGATTTTCCCCAATGGATATTCTAGATTTGCGTTGAAGCCGAATAATGGATAAGGAGCCGGAGACAAGTCTGATTTGTTTAATCCAAGTTTGATGAAGGTCTTGTAATACATAACTTCAGAAGTACTTCCCTGGTCTATGAGAACGCACTCGATAGTAAATCGGTTAACACGTAGTTCAATGACCAGTGGATCAATGTGGGGGACTGTTATGCCGATAAGATCAGAATCGTCGAAGGTGATACTTGGAGCTTCATGCGGTCATTTCGCCGGCGTGAGTTGCTTCTGGGATGCAAGGTGTGTTTGAATTGTATGCACGGCTGAGGGCGTTGGCAGGCTGTATATCATGTGGATGACTGCAAGCGGAGGTGATTCTCGCCGAAGTACAATTGGTCTGGTTGCGCACGTTTGGGCATGTTGCTGGGGCTGAACATCTCGGACCAACTCCTGAAGGTCTTTCATAGCATAGCTACTGTCACAATCGTGATCTTCGCAATATCCACACCACTTATTCCTTCTGGTCATGTCGGGAGGTGCCACCGCTTCTGATGGCCTGGTGTAGAACGAGGGGGCCCACTTTATATGCGGACTTTCTTCGGAGGAACTGGAAACTTCAGATCGTCCATTCTTATCAGGATCCAGGGATAATAAGTCGGAGCTGCTATCAGTGTCTTGAAGCCGGGCTCGAGGTCGTCAATCACCTGCTTTCAGAGGTCGCTCGGGATTTTGGGGCACGACTTGTTTGAATTTTGCTACCTCTAAAGCCAAATCCTGATGGAGGCGCTCGTTCACATCGATCAAGTTTTCCAACCTCTGCTCATTTTGCTTTGCCTGCTCCATGATCGCTTGCATTGCCTCATGTTCTGGAGTCGAAGGTGAGGCGAAGTTCAAAACACGTCTTGCTGGGATAAGCTTCGGTCCGTGCGTGTTTGTTGGAGTGAAAACAACTACCTGCGTGTGTTCATCAGTGACTATTGGAGGGTCCTCCGTCACGTCCGCCATGGATATGCTTGAGTATTCCCACAGACGGCGCCAGTTGTGGGGAAGTGGTTTTTGGAAATACTCTTCTGGTCCTGGGGGACGCTCGTGATCCACCGATAGGCACCTGAAAGGAAGTAAACACTCCTATCGGGGATGCCGGAATTAGCACTCTGACGGACAAGTCAGTCTCTCGTTCTAGATTACTTGTATTCTAAGTTAAACACCACAATTATCACATACCTCTTTCTGGCTGATGTCTCTTCTATTTATATCTTTTCTTCTTTGGTCCTCAGGATTAGTTCCAAATCCAACCTCCTATGCGGTATATTTTGTAATAAACCGATCTTCACTCGGCCCCTTGCTTAATCGACTTTCTAGTCGAATAAGATTGGGTCCGAGTTTCCGTGGCAAGGGCTGAATGTTTTGAATCTCCGGAATCTCTACGACTCCCAGTATTCAGCCCCCACAAGATCTTGTTAAATATCTATTTGGGAAACCAACACTTACGGGTAGGCTAGCTCATTGGTTGCTTCTTCTCTCTGAATTTGACCTCAAGTATGTCACTCGCAAGTCAGTCAAAGGGAAAGCAGTAGCGGAATTTCTGGAAGACCACCCAGAGGAAGGAGATGATGTAGTCGAGTACCTGTTCCTAGATGAGGAGATTTTGTAGGTAGAGGAAGATACGTGGACCATGTACTTTGACGGAGTAGCTAATCAATACGGTTATGGGATAGGTGTGTTTCTTATAGCACCCGATGATTCGCATATACCCCTATCTTTCAAACTCCGATTCAAAGTATCCAACAATGAAGCATAGTACGAGGCATGTATCGTTGGATTAGAAGCTGCCCTAGAACTACGGGCGATAAGGTTGGATGTCATCGGAGACTCAAAACTGGTTGTTTCTCAACCCAATGGAGACTAGAAGGTCAAGGAAGAGAAAATGAAAGTTTATCATCAGACCTTGGACATTCTGATTCCAAGATTTGAAAAGCTGACATTCACAGATCTGCTAAAAGAGAACTACCAGTTTGCTGATGTAGTGGTAACTCTATCCTCCATGGTAAAGATACCGCTCGGGGTTAAGATTCGTTCGATCATCATTGAACAGAAGTATAAGCCTGCTTACGAGACAATAGCCACAATAAATGAAGTTCAAGTCCAAAACCCCTGGTATCATGATATTTGGAACTTCCTAGAAAAGGACATATATCCACAAGGGGCTAATGCCAAGGATAAATGGAGAATACGGAGCCTGGACGTTCAGTTCATCATATGCGGACACAAGTTGTACAAGAGAGGGCATCTGGGAATGCACAAGCTCTGTGTCAAGGATGAGGAGTCAAAACGTCTCATGGAGGCCATCTGTGGAGGCGAGTAGGGAGCACACATGAATGTTGTGATACTGGCTAGGAAGATCCTTAGACAAGGCTATTATTGGTCAACCATGGAGGTAGATTGTATAAACTTTGTTTGGCGATGCCACAAATGTCAAATCCATGCACTACAACAAAACTAACTTTTTACAACACCACATCAACGGCATACAATAAATGCATGACGTAGTTTCTCACTTTTACGACTTGCTTTTTTTGCACGTCGTAAATACTTTTCCAACCACGACGTGTCTATGCGTAGGCCGTGAATGGTAATAACGATAATTTTTTTACGACTTGCAATGCACGCTGTAAATAATAAAACTTTCTACGACATGCATGTGGCGTGACGTTAATACATCAATTATACACAACGCACATACACCAGCTGTGAAAAATGAATAATCTTCACGGCGTACACAATGCCTGTCGTTAAAAATATTGTGGGCCGTGAATGGTAATAACGATGATTTTTTTACGGCTTGCAATACATGCCGTAAATAATAAAACTTTCTACAACATGCATGTGGCGTGTCGTTAATACATCAATTATACACGACCCACTTATGCCAGTCGTGAAAAGTGAATACTTTTCACGGCGTACATAACGTCTGTCGTTAAAAATATTGTACTTTTTATGATGCACACATCGCTTGCCGTTAAAAATATTACCTTTTTATGACACACAATGCATGTAGTGAATTGTATGATAAAAAATATTAAAAATAAAAAGCGTCAAAATAAAATTTAGGGCGCCAGGCACCCAAAATAAAAATAAAAATAAAATAAAATATATATATATTTGCCTCCCTCTAATCAAAATGGAACATCACAGGAGTCAAATCTCTCTCTATCTCCTGTCTCGCAGCAGCCTTCACTCTTTCTCACTCACTCTCTCGTTCTTTCATCTCTCTGTCTCTAGCAATCGGTGATCGGCCAGCGAGACAACTGGTGGTGATCGAATCTGGTTGGCCTTCGCAACACATTCGGTTGATCCAATTAATTCCAGATTGAGATCGTACGACCTCGCTCTCAAATTCGATCCGCCCAATTTCAAAGGTAATTTTACAATTTTTTTTTGGGTTTGATCTTGCAAAAGTTGGACCTTAAATCAGCGGAATATCGATCTTCATCGGTTCATTTATGGGTTTTCAATTATTAGGTGGAAAATAATTTATTTCCTTATAATTTTGTTTATAGGGTTTGTGATTGTTTTTTAATTCATACTATTCTTGTTATTTTTGTGTAAACATTTAGCTTTTTTTTGATAAATTTCTGCTTTAATTTTTTTTTTAAATCTGCTTATTGACATTGATTTTATTTCAGAATGGGAATAATTTTCAATTTTCAGATTTATGCTTTAATTTTTTTTTTTTAATCTGCATGTTAACAATTTTCAAAAGAAAACATGTGTTCTCTTCTCTACCTCTGATAGTCGAATATATATGATTGTGTACTTGTTTGAAGTTTTATACTCAAATATGTTTCATCTTGGACACCACTATTGGCTCAGATCTTCTGTTTTTTCTGTTCTTTTTATGACACACTCTCAATCCTTCAGATATCAAATGTTTTTTTCTACATAAGATTAAAACTTACCAATGGGCCACTTTTTTTTTATGTGGGTATCTCCAAAATCCCACTGATCAAGACAGGGAAGTACTATTGATTGTCCAAATAAATTAAGTGAACTCTTTTGATGATTGCAATTGTAAAAAGACCCATGAGGTCCCCCACACCAACACTGATGTGAAGCAATGTAATGTTCACAGAGATGCTTTAGTCTATAAGAGGCTTCCACACACACACACACACACACACACACACAAAAAAAACTTTCCATATTCAATTCTACTTTTGGAATTGGAGTTAGAAGAGAACATGTAACCCCAAATGGGTTTCAATCTGCAAGCTCAGAGTAATTGTTCATAGCAATGTTGCCACACACTACATCCACAATGATGTATGAAGGATGTATTGTGCGGCAACTGTACTGAATAATTTTTCCTATTGCCTAATTGCAGTGATCAAAAGTGTGGCCAAACTACCTATGGTTCTACCTGTTTTTTAATTGGTCTGCCCTCATTGTCTTCTTGCTGTGTGAGATTTATTCCTGGACTGCCTTGCAGTATCATTCAATGTCAAGTTCACCCCAAAAATATGGGGCTCTAATCAACTTCCATCTGAACTGTTAGATCAAAACATGATGTATTAGCTAAATTAATCAATTAAAGAACTTTCATATTCTCCTTTAGTGTAATGAGATTGTGTTAATGTAGCAACCCTCACCTTACTCTTGACATACTTGCATACATCCATGCATGATCTTGTCTTGATATGTTATTTTGCTAGTTTTGTCTTACCTTGTTTTGTTCAAGTATTGCTTGCATGATTTTGTTCCTTGCTCGGCGTGTAGCCGAGGTCATCTCGAGTTTAGTTCGATTCTGAGCCTTTGTACCTTGAAATGTTTTGGAACCGCTCGGTCGATACCATCTTCACCTCGGGCTTGTTGCCGAGATATTTTGCACTTAGTGATCTTTGTCCTGGGGCAAGCATGGCCTAGATCGAGGTGTGGCACACCCCGGCCAAGGTGTGGCACAGCTTAGTCAAGTGTCGTCCTCCCTAGCCGATGTCTTTGTTATCCTGTTGCTAAAGCCTTGATTTGAACCGATGTCATTACTTGCCGATGTGTCTTACCCCAGCTTGCTGCGTACGCTTTGTCATAGACTTATCTTATCAATCAATCACCTTTTGAGTTGAACCACCCCGGTAGCGCCACGTGTCCGAGCTGATTGTTAAGACAGCCAGCTGACTTAGAAACAAATCACTTTGTCTCAAATCTTTGCCTTTAGAGAGAGAAGCTCTAGAGAGGAGGAGGAGAAGTTCTTGAGTGAGAAGGATCTTCCAAGCTTCATCTTCGAGGTTTGAACCGTTGGATTCGAGCTTTGGGGTAAGAATTTTGATCTACTTTGATTGTTGTTATTGATCATCTAGCTGCATTACATGATCGGATCTGTTTTGCATGCCATGCATCGATTTGAAGTTGGTTTTGGAAAGAGAAAAATAGTATTCATGTGCTTTGAAGAGAAGCCTCTTTTTTAATCCAAAAGTTTGGAAACAAGAACCATGTTTTGTGTTTGTTCTTGCATGACCTTCTTGTATGGGTACCCAGGTCAATGTTTTGGAACTCTTGGCATGAAAACTCAGATTTTTGTAACAAGTTATGATCTTGCATTGTCTTCTTCGTGATCATGTTCTTCATATTCTCCAAAGGGAAACCTAGGTTTTACCGACTTTGTTTGATGAGGCCTTCGGGACCACACCTCGGCAAGGTGGTGTGGGACCTCGGCAAAGACCTGGATAGTACCCAGTGTGTTTACACGAGATGGGAGTAGTGCTTAAACTCCCGACATGTTTTGCTTTGTTATTGACTTGGATTTGGTGAAAATACCGAGATCATTCGCATGTATAAATAAAGCTTGTTTTGAGAACGTGATTCCCATGTGATTGTAGGACCTTGATCCTTGCTTTGAGTCTACACCTGGAGAACTAGGTGAGTGGTGCTTTTAATAAAGCTATGTTACACTGTTTTTGATAAGTCTTGCCTTGCTTTGTTTTGACGAAAGTATTTGCTAAGCATGAATGAATAGCCCTGTTTTGATGTATCAAGTATAAGCTTTGTTTTAATGTCATCTTTGAAAAGTCCCTTGTGCTGGAGGACTCTAAACTTTCGCAGCACTAAGTATAAAAGGATACGGTCCTTTCTTGGAAAGACTATAGTGTTAAATCGGGCTACGGGCCTAAGTAACACAAGTTCTATAATGTTAAATCGGGCTACGGGCCTAAGTAACATCAGATCATCGTGTTAAAAGGAGCTACGGGCTTAAGTAACACAAGTCCCTTGTGTTGGAGGACTATAAACTTTCGCAGTACCTTGACCAAACGATTACGGATCGTACAACCCTTGTTTTACCACTGACGGTTTACCGCGTGGACTTGTTTTGATAAGCTTGATCCGTGTTTGGCCGATGTCGGTAAGCATCCCTTGAGACTTGTTAGACTTGATAGATGAATACGGTTCATCCCTTGCTTTGGTAAAGTTTTGACGTGTTCTGATCTGTAAGGATCTCGGCTAATATTCGTATGGTTTTTGGCATGTTTCGTTTTGAAAGACTTCGGCTATATTCATGCAAAACCTTTATTTCTAGTACCATTCACTGAGTATTTGTGCTCACCCCTCTCTATATATATGTAGGTGGTGAGCAGGACGGCGGCGACGCCTAGATGTGTTTTTAGAAAGACTGTTTTGGATCCTTGATTTTTGGTCGGCTTGTTTTGAATTCATGTCGGCGATGTCATTTCTTTTACGTCGGCGAATCTTGAAAATCATGCTTCTTGGCTTGTATTCATTATATTTGTATATGTCGGCTCGAGAAGCCTTTTGATCAAGATGTAATATGTAATTTGCTTTATTGTATTCAAATTGTAAAGCTTGTAAAGATGTATGCCATTACATTAGATCTATTCACTGCTCTTATGGACCACTTGTATGTTGACTTATTGCTTCCGCATTTGTGAGCCCCGTTTATTATACTCTGATTGTGTTAAATTAAGAAAGTTGGCTTTCGGTAATTACGGATTACTGGCCATCACGGCACCAAACTACTAGGGGCGGTTTGGGGTCGTGACAGTTAACGTATATAATAAATAGCTTGTAAGAAATTACTCGGACTTCTTTGGCCACCTCACGCAGACCACAATTGATAGGATAAAAATCACTGTTATCAATGCTCAATTGTGTAGGTTTTAAACTTTCATGATGGTATCCAATTCCTTTGCACTTGAATCAGAGTCGAATCCTTGCAATTTGGTAGCATGAACTTCCTAGCGAACCTGATGATTGTTGATCCAATGTTTGTTCAACACGTGCAGACACCAGAAGGTTCACTGTTGGATATTATACGCAATGTCTATGATCTTCTTTCTCACTGTGATATAAAAATTCCTAAGGTACATCCTCTTACATCTGCAACTTTAATATTGAACATTCGTCCTAGGATTTGTGATGAATGCTGTTGCTAATTTTCTCCACCACAAGATTCTATCTAAGATAATTTTTTCTTATGCTTGTCAGGCTTATATTTTCTGGTACATGTAGATATATATTTTTTGAAACTTTGTTCAGTTATTCTCTTTTGTTTATTGTGTTAGAGCATCTCCAACGGTGAATCAGATTTTTCACCAAATTTGAGTAAAAAATGACCCATTTTACCAAATTTGATACCAGTCGCTCCAACGGTGCACTTTCATCAAATTTGTGCTGGGGACAACCGGTTGGTCGACCGGTTAAGCGAAATTTTTTTTTAATTTTTTTTTTGTTTTTTTTTTTTTTTGAACTTTTTGAACCTTTTAGTGGTCGACCGGCTGGTCGACCGGTTAGGCAAAAAATTTTTTTTTTTTTACTGTTTGAACCTTTTCTTCGAACCGTTTGAACCTTTAGGTGGTCGACCGATTGGTCAACCGGCCGAGCAACCGGCTAGTTGACCGGTTGGCCTCTCCCAACAGTCAGGAACAGTGATTTGGTGAAATGCTTCGCCTGTTCTCGTTTTGGTAAAAGATTTGCTGAATTCTCGATTTGATATCGATTTGGTGAAACCGTTGGAGCTCAAAAAAGTGGCTTTTTCATCAAATTTTGAATTTGATACCAGGTTTGATGAACCGTTGGAGATGGTCTTACATAGATTGAAGGTAATGAAAAATATGTTTATTCTGGACCCCCATATCTCATCTTCCTTCATCTTGCTTTGGGCCCACTGTGGGAATTCTCCAGACAAAAAGTACACTCAATTTTCAGACTTTGCTTTTTATATTTAAGCTTGTATTGCATGGGAATTGCCCTAAAATTCTGGTTAATATGTACAAAACCCTTAATTTTGTTAAAATCATGAAAACATTATATTTTGTATCTCTATATTTGGAACATTAGAGAAACTGGTCTTACCAATTAGAGCTGAGAAGTTATGAATATTTGATTTTCAAAAAGAGTTTTCAAACTGTTATTTCTTGTGACTTAATAGTTAGTTAGAATATATAGGATGAGAATTGGGCTCGACTAGGACTGATGAAAATGGTGAGCTCAAACTAAGATACGGGCACAAGTAATAGATGATTCTGATTTTGTTTTTCTTTATTTTTTCCAAGAGTAGTAGCAACCAACTTGAAGTTTGAATGGAATTCTATTTTGTAGGTGTGGAAGATGTAAGTTACAGAATGTCAAAGTACTGAATGAAGGAATTGATTGGACTCCAGGAAACAACACATACTGGAAGCATGATCTACAATGGTTTGAGGCATTAAAGGTCATACTGCATGGAAATGCTGAATTTGAAGATGCTGTCTTTCAGGTTAGATAATATGCATTATAGATTTAGTTGTTCAGGTTTTGAGTAATGTTGGAGGTGGTTTTCTTCTTTTACTTGTGTACTTTGGTCTGGCATGCTCTAACATTGAACTAGAAGGCATCTTTTGATTAAGTGGAAACTATAAAACAATTAAGTATTTTGTAGTGTTATATATATATCAATTATTTGTAATCGATCATCCATTTCAAATAAAATGGTACTTTTTTTTTTGAACTAGAAATAAAATGGTACTTGAAAATATTTGTTTTTTTCTTTTTTCTTTACATTTTGGAAGGGATAAATCTGAATGCATAGAATTCAAGTGATATTTTATTTTGGCTATGAATATAGATTAAGATTTAAAACTCTTATATGTATCAAAATATAGTAAATTTATGGGATTGGATTATTTCAAGTTGACTTTTGGGCTTGATGAATTTATTTTTGAGTCAACTTTAGTGATCTGAATTATTCATTTTTTAGAACTTATTAAGTAAAATATTCATGCAAAAAATTAAGATGATCGAATATCGCTAGTTATATGTTTGAATCATACTCGCTCCGTCCCAAAATAATGGTCCCTTTTGGGGAATCTAACTTTTTTTGGTAGTATAATTATTGGATTTTTAAAAAGTTGACTTTCCAAAATTACCCTTTTGATAGTACATTTTTTGAGAAAATCAATGTCATAATTGTACTTTTTATATTGTTTATTAATTTAAAAGAATGGCAAAATAGGAAATTTATATTATTTTTGTACTTGATTTTTGAAGAGGGACTAATATTTTGGGACAATGAAAAATGGAATAAGGGACTAATATTTTAGGACGGAGGGAGTATTTGTTTTTAAAAAAAGATGCTAATTATAATTTCAAGTAGCTATTCATTTTCTGTAATATAAATATGATTCAAACATATAACTACCGATCACTACAACAAAATGCACATTTGGCGACTAAAATTGGCGACCAAAACAATTTTAGTGCGGGCATATTATTAATAGAAGGTTTTAACCAAAATGGTCCTTCACTGTTTTTTCTACTATTCTGGGTTGTATTTTATTTTAATAATGAAATCTTTTTTATTTTTCAAAAAAAAAAAAGAAAGTGGGTGGCTTACTTGGGCTTTGGTTTTATCGACAAAATTAGCATTCATCCTATATGTTTTCAAACGTGCCAAAATCCTCACTTTCAAGCTGGTGCACGTTTAAAAAATATAAAATAGGAAATAGATTGGAATTAGTAGCCAAATAGGATGCTTTTGGCGACCAATTTTTAGTCGCTGTTAAGGATTTTTGGCGACAAATAATGATTTAGTCACTAAAGCTTCCAAATTTTTTTAGAGGGAAACTCATTAATATTGGCGCCTATATTTAACAAAGAATTATTTTTCTTCTGTTTCACATACACCATACAGAGCACTCGATACCAAAGCTCAGCGCTGCTGACCACCATCGACCATCACTGTCGCTGGCCACCGGCGCTCGCCACCACGACCACTGCAAATCGCCCCCACCACTGATTACAGGTATTTCTCTCTCATCTCTCTCCTTCTCTGTCGATCTGTCTACGAGGGTCTTCTTAATAAAATTCAAAATACAAATTGTTGTTGTGTCCCCAGGATTATCAGTTAACAAATTTTCTTCTCCCCTCAGCACGGGTTAACAATATAATGTCATGAACTAAAATTATGACAAAAGTGTAGTTTCTTGTCATTAATGCTAGTATGACTTGCAGACATCAAACAGTAATTAATGACTGAACATATTGATATCAGAAACTTCTCTCTATCGTGACATAAAATAATTTTTTGTTATTTTTTCATGCAATTATTTTATGATTCAATCTTTAAAATATTAAGAAGTTACATCCGTCATTTGTGATGAGCTCATGAACCAGATAGTTGCATATTTTTTCTGCTGAAAAGTTAATCCGTCCAACAAAAAGTGTTCTGCTATATTTTTCTTTTTAACTTGATGGATTTGTATATGGAAGGAGGCATGTCCCTACACATTATTTTATGTTGTTACTCGTTTTCATGTCATGTGTGACTTGGACAGTTCAAATTGGACTTTTCAAATATTGAACTGTCAACATAACACTTCCAAATTTAAAACTAACCTTTTTGTACATTTTGAACTGTTAGTAGCATCATCTCTCAATTTTATCATTGTTGAGAATTTTCTTTCTTGATCAGAAATCTGCTGCCTATATTTTTTTGTTTAAATCTGACAGGTTGTGACAGAGATAATTTCCCAAGTGTTGTGCATGTATTGGCATGCTCATTAAACTAAATAATTTAATGACCATGGAAGAAATTATGTTGCTAGATAACTGATGCCATGATTTTGTATTAAAATTTCCACTTACAAAAAATGATTTGAGTATTAAATTTTATACTCAATTTAGACGTTTATATGCAAGTTGTCAGCTCTTGCTAACAGTAGTGGTGCTTTCTGATTTTAGGTGACTAATACACCATGGGGCAAAAGGGTATCATTTTTATTCGATCCTACTATTGATCTAGTTGCAAAATCACAGCATATTAGTCCATTCATGGTAAGGTTAAGTGATTGCTTGGCTTGTATACTACTTGTTTCCTTCCTTTATTGCCATTTTGCTTTTACCTTTTGAGTAATTAACATGATGGTTCACAGTATGAATTTTATATAATGTGGAATTAATGTGATAGACAGATATCTCTTTGCACTCATGTTATTTCAGTTTGTTTACAGGATTGCTTATGCACTTATGATTCATACTTCAATAACTTGGGCCCCCTTTCTGTAATCTTATTAATACCCCCATCAAACTTAATAGCAATTTGAATTTGGGCATATCATGCTTTCTTTAATAAACACAATAAATAAATAAATAGTTACATTGCTAATCTTCTAGCTTTCAGCCACTTCTATGCATTCACAGCGGCAGTAAAGTTTTTTTTATTTTATTTATGATTATAAAACTTATGTGCGAGGAAATCTTTTTATTTGACTAATATATAAAATAATATCATGAACATGTGAATGGAAAACCTTGATGTGATTATATCAACATGCTCCTGCCCTGTTTACAGCAGGAACAAATATTTCGTTGTAAAGTGTAATTATATCAATAGCTCCTGCCCTGTTTTCTGTTTTCAGAATAATGTAATGTTTTTGAATAACCTTTGCTTGTGTGCTTTGTTTTGCTGGGTTTGTCTTTGCTATGCTCAATTGGTTTGCTGCTGCGGATGGGGTGGGTGTGGGCTGTTTATGCTTTGTTTATTGTTGATGTTTTGGTTGATGTTGGTCATGGTTACTGGGTGGAGTTTAATAGGTCTATGGGGTGTTTGGTTTTTGGTTTATTCCAAATAATGGTAGTTTGGGGTTTTGATTCTTTGGGGGGTTTTTTTTCTTGCCTTTTTTTCTTGTCGGGTTTGGTTTCTCACCAACCGTTGGGGTCGCGCTTGCAAATGATTGGGCTCTCTGCTCGGTGCCAACCTAGTTGGGATTGAGTAGTTTGCGATGATGCTTTGTGCTCTTTACATAAAGTTACAATTATATGTCTCCTTCTAAGATGCCTTGTGCTCTTTAGAAATTAGTATAATGTTTGTTAAATATAAATTAATCTTGCACCAAGGCTAGCAAATGCCCTTATTAATTAATATAGAATTGAAGAATCATATTAAGGGTATATATTTGGAATACTATTTACAAGGAACAATCAATCCTTGTAATTAACTTAATTATTTTGTAATATGAAAATAAATTTGTTCACACACTTTTTTAGTATATGAACAATCTAAAAATTTATTATAGTTGACATTTAGTTTCTCTTTACATAAAGTTACAATTATATGTCTCCCTCCAAGATGCTCTTATGCACTTTAGAAATTAGTATAATTTTTGTTAAATATAAATTATTAATCTTGCACCAAGACTAGCAAATGCCCCCGTTAATTAATATAGAATTGAAGAATCATGTTAAGGGTATATATTTGGAATACTACTTAGAAGGAACAATCAATCTTTGTAATTAAATTAATTATTTGTAATATGAAAATAAATTTGTTCACACACTTTTTTAGTATATGAACAATCTAAAAATTTATTATAGTTGACATTTAGTTTCTCTTTACATAAAGTAACAAGTATATGTCTCCCTCTAAGATGCTCTGTGCTCTTTAGAAATTAGTATAATGTTTGTTAAATATAAATTAGTCTTGCACCAAGACTAGCAAATGCCCCTATTAATTAATATAGAGTTGAAGAATCGTATTAAGGGTATATATTTGGAATACTACTTAGAAGTAACAATCAATTCTTGTAATTAAATTAATTAATTTGTAATATGAAAATAAATTTGTTTACACACTTTTTTAGTATATGAACAATAATCCATATAATTATAGTTGACATTTAGTTTCTCTTTACATCAAGTTACAATTATATGTCTCCCTCTAAGATGACTTCACATAGAATTGTTCATGTATGTCACATTTGTTTATGAATGCATGCCAAGTTACTAGTGAAATTAGCCAACTACATGCAATTGACAAATAGGCAAAGCATCCCGATCTGTTATTACTATTTCGTTCACTTCATTATTGCAATGCTAATCGAACCCTTAAACTTACTTAGGCTCTCTTCCAGCACATCGTATATTTCCAAGTTGTCGTCCATTCTTAGGTTCATGTTTGATTGATGTGTATTGTTGCAATAATGGACAAGAGTTGGATGATGATAAAAGATAGACTAAAAAGTAAAGAGTATCTTGAAGGTGTTCAGTCATTTATTGAGTTCGCTACGAAGAATTTAGGGCCGCAGGATGAAATCCATTGTCCTTGTGTTGATTGCTTGAACGGCACACAATTTAGTCGACACGTTGTATGGTTGCACTTCATTCAAAGAGGAATCGCATGTTCTTATCGAACTTGGGTGCACCATGGCGAACATGTTCCCATATTTCGTGATCATCCTACTATGCAAAACGATGATACTGAAAGCAATGGATTCGGAATGATAGCCAATCACAAAAATGTGGGTGAATTTCCTACCATGTTAGAAGAGATTTACATGAGTGGTCTCATGGATGATCATATCGACGAAGAACGTACTAGTTCGAAGAGGCACAATCTGTTGAAGTTCATGAAGTTGTTCGATGATGCTCAACGCAAAGTATATCCAGACTGTGAAAAGTTCTCCATCTTGTCCTTCGTAATTAAGATGCTTCATGTGAAGGTGTACAATAAATGGAGCAACAAATCTTTCGATATGGTTATGCAAGTTTTCAAAGGCATTCTACCAAAGTGTGATGAAACTGTTCTACGGACCCTTTATGAAGCGAAAAACTTCTTACGTGAATTGGGTTTGGGATATGAGTCCATTCATGAATGCAAGAATGATTGTACTCTATTTT